GGCCGGCTGTGCCTGTGATCACTTGGCGCTTAGTAGGAAATGCGGAGAACGGCGAAGAAACCTTCAAATCATGCCGTGCGTTCTTGGGTTGGGTGGACCCCCCACCCTGTAATAGTGCCTATAAGGGATGATGGTGGTGATATTAGGGGTCTTCTCATATTCCCACTATACCACTACTACAGGGGGGCGGGTCCACCTAAGTTATGGGCTAGCTGGCACGTATTCGGGGAGCAGCAAATAGTTCAAGCCTCTATCCTGCCGGCACCCGATCACTGTGTTCTGGCCTTTGGATAGCTGGGAATGACGGAATGGAAAAGAACATGGAAACTACTGTAATGGTTTTTCTAGGGACTACTCGAAGGATCCATTGCTTCAATCTCAGCTAACCAAAGGCCAGTATCCTTGTTGCCAGGACTTTCAATCAATTAGCTAGGTTAGGGGGAGCTGAGAGTTTATACTTTCGGGTCATGGGTTTCGTTCGACTACTGCTCAAGGATTCCTCTTTCTTCCTTTGGGAACCGACAAAGTAAGACGTGTACCCCTATGCATTTCATCGAGAATTCGAATACTAACAGGGACAAAAGGCGCCAAAGGCCGACCCAAGCTTAGTAATAAACGCGTGTGCCCCAAAAGTAGGTGAAATAATAACCCAAAAAGCCTTAACCACCAGCCCAACGGTCCATGATTCTGCATACTTTTGGGGTAGGCCCTAAACCCTAAACCTAATTTAGGTAAGGATCCCACTCGATTCTTACACTTTCGGGATTTCTCTGCAATAAGGGCCAGATGAAAGGCCGTGGTATACTAGGAATGCATGAGCTACTGTCTAAACTCCTGAAAGGGATTTATACAGGGTTTAGGGCGTGGCTGGGTGTGGCTTTAGGGTTTAGGGCCTGAACTCCCTAAAGGTGGCTGTATGGGGGATTATATAAATTATATAGGGGACGATGGTAGGGGTTCCTAAGGGGGATACTAGGAGTTTAGACTATGGAATATGTAGAGGCCCTAGTATAATTACCATTATCTGTTGGGGTGACTATTGGTGGGTTAGGGGGGCAATCTAATATATATATATATATACATATTCATATTCAAACCCTAAACCCTAAACCAAAATCTTACAATGACTCCAGTTGCGAGATTCCTTGCAGGAAGATTGTGTTTCGCGTATGTGAGCTATAGTCTAAACCCCTCAAAGGGGTTATAAAGGGGGTTATATAGGGGACCATGACAGGGATTAGTAAGGGGGATACTAGGAGTTTAGAATCTAGCTCATGCAGGGCAGGTTGTTTTTGCGTGGTTGTCATGGTAGAATGCATCTACCCAAGCAGTGAAAAGTTGGCTACTCAGCTACTAAGAAACAAGAGCATGGTTTCAAGCCCCCTCCCCCCACCCCTCCCAGAAGGTAGGATATCCTGGCAAAAAAACGTAAATCCTAAACCCTCCACTCTGACTGTTCTTGTTGCTTGAGGTTCAGGTTTTTGCGTCTCAGCCCCTGTTCTGAAAGACGGTCTGTGCTCCAGTCTTTTTTTTGTGCATGGGGTCTTGGCTTTCAAATTGCTGGAGGCAGAGTCTCCCAGGAGAAGATTCACGTTCTGGTCGGCATCCATAGTGCGCTACTTAAAGCTCGTTCTAAATAGCATCCACCGAACTGGCCTTGTGCAGGTTACCCCACTTGGAAGTAGGGCCATAAACCAGATTTTAAGTAGGTACGAAGTTTCATGAACCTCCCTAAACCCTAAGCCCTAAGCCGCATCCATAATGCAGCAACGAAGATTGGGGGTCTTCACCATTGCGGTGCGGAGGCTCACCATCTTCAGCTTCGCCCATTATCAGTCCCTGAACTTAGACCCTACTTGGAGGATCTTTTGACGTAAGCCTACCTACCCCAAACCCTAAACTCTAAACCCTACCCCCAATAACCCCTATCATAGGCCTCGTGCCGAATCATAAGCAGAAAATCTACATGTACAAGTTACAGCTCGAAGTGTCCAAGGACTTTTTGCGGCCACCTTCTGTATCAGCGGGCTTTCTGCGCCTTTTTCCTTCAAGTGAGATGGGATGTGGCGTTGCATGTGACACTGTATGGGGTCACACAGGAACAACTTCAGAAACTCCCACACAGTGGTAGAGAGCTGTTTGTTATTGAAAGCATGTTGGCAAGTCCGACCATAATCCCTGAACCATCCTGAACCCTAAACCCTAAACCATAATCCTTGTGGGCTTTTTCAAAAGACTATCCCTGAACCCTAAACCCTGTCGGCCTTTTTCACAGGACTATCCCTGTGGAATCCTGAGTAGGGAACCCTCCAATTTTGTATTTGGCATCCCAGGTCTGAGGGTTTAGGGGTTGAGGGTTTAGGGTTTAGGGGTTTAGGGTTGAGGGTTTAGGGTTGAGGGCTTAGGGTTTAGGGGTTTAGGGTTAGAGTCTGCTTGTGCAAGGAGACCCCTTGGGTGCAATGTTCTCGGTTGTTGCTTTCCCTCATCCTTCTTTGTTGTCAGCTTTTGTGTGGGGAAGAGTTGATTGTTTTCCTTCCGCGCGTTTGCAACGGTACTTGTCGGACATTTGTCCCCTGCTCAATGCAAGTATCCTAGCCAAACAGTTCTGGACACGTTACTGCATGAGGTCGGAGGACCGGATGTTTTTGCTGCAGCTGGACATCCTTTGATGTGTCCCAAGCTGAGGCACTAGAGCCAAATCTACCTATACCCTAAAGCCTAATCTCTAGACCTGGATAGTCTTTGTCAATTGCTTTGCGCCGCATCCCTGTTGCCACTCACAACTCCTGGGTTCTAGCACACCCTACTTTTTCCGCACCTGTATCACGATGTCCTGCCCTTTTTGGCATTTGTCCAATCTTTTTCACGTACTTTTGCCTTGGAGAGCGCAGGTATGTATACATGGCTGAGCTCTACTCCCAGACCTGTTACCCCCTACCAGGACCTCCCAAATCCGCTGTATTGGACTCTTCACATGGGCGGTGGAGGCATCCCAAACCCAAAACAGCTATTTAGGGTGTAGGGTCCAGGGAAGTATGGTGATGGAAGATGGTCTCCACCAAGGGGTTTTATGGTTTAGGGTTTAGGGTATCGAATATTTAGTGTAGTTGAGGTAGTTGGGGGGGTCCAGGCACGTACCCTTCTCAAAGCCAATACGGGGCCCCATCCCAGGATGCAGTCGTTAACTCTTGACCCAAAGCCCTGTTAGATGGCCCCGTCCTTACGGTTCCATGTTAGCTAAGCCCTACATCCTACATCCCTGAAATCTAAGGAATACTAAGTGCAAATGCACAATGGCCCAACACCCTAAAGCCCATAAACTGTTAACCCTAATGAGACAGGTGCCTTCGTTGGTATCCTTGGATTTGCAGCTCAGGCGGCCATAGGCGCCTAGGGTTGATATAGGGGCTAGGGTTCATACAGCTTAGGGCTTAGGATTAGGTATTTTCCCAAGATAGGGGGACCCCAATATAGACCCCAATATATTATAATCCTCATTATTGGCACCTCAAATGGTATGGCTAACTAGAGGAAACCCCCATTCAGGGTTCAGGGTTTCGGCTTAGAGTTTAGGCTTGGGATTTAGGGTTTAGGCCTTGGGGTTTGCAATTCAGGCTTTCTGGTGTCTGCCCAGTACATTCATGTCCTAAGCATGGGCCCCGTTAGGGTTTAGGGTATACTTATGGGCTGCTGGTTGCCTCCAGGATCCCAATTCTGGGCCCTGAACCGGGCTTGTAGGGTTTTCTAGGGTATGTAACTACTCAAATTTCTAAGAATTAAGGGCCCCCACAGGCCCAAGATGTATTGCCAAGCACAGACGGAGAAGCTAGGTCTTAAGATTGGGAGTATAGATTGCGTACTGCCCCCCCTCAGTAACAGTTGGATAATAATTATAATATGGGTATATATAGCCCTTAATAGGACCCCTAATATAGACTGTTACTGGCTGGGGGCAGTACCCAGAGTATAGACACAAAACCCTAAACCTTAAACCCTAAACCCTAAACCGCAAACATGGGCTCTGAGCCTGATAGATGCTGGTAAGGTCGATGTAAAGCTATACCATGACTTTAGGACCCCAAGGGTTCAAGTCAATATATAGTCCCCCTTAAGTAGATAGAATATATCTTTGGGGATATTATCACAAGATCCGCATATACCCCATATTCTATCTACTTAAGGGGGACTATAAGTCAATACTGGGGGCTCTGGTGGAACCTTACGGTGGAACTTTTGATTCAGGGCCTCATTGTTCAGGGTTTTACATCGTATGCTAGTTCCCCCCCAATGTACGAAGCCACCTGAAAAGTAGGTCTTAGTTGAAGGCCGCTTGTCATTTTCCTAAACCCTCAACCCTAAACCTAAAACCCTAAACCTTAAACCCTAAACTTTAAACTCTAAACCCTAAACCCTAAACCTCCAGGCCCCCTAAAATCCCTTATCCCCAAGCCCTAAGCCGGCGGTCCGAGGCAGCTTAAGGAACTTCAAGCACCCCATGCGGATTGGGGTTTAGGTTCAGGGTTTTAGGGTTTAGGGTTTAGGGTTTAGGTTCAGGGCTTAGGATTTATTATGGGTTGCTGTTAAGGAACTTAAATCAAGTTACTATATTGGGGGAACCATATTTATTAATATATACCCATTATAGGAACTTAATTTAAGTTCCTTAACAGCAACCCAGTAGGGCAAGGACCTAAAGCCCTAAAACTTATACCCCAACCTCAGAACCCTCCCTACATGATTTCGGCTTCCATGCTTGTTCCATGTTCTTTTCTATTTTGGCTCTTCATTATTGAACTGTAAACCACCCGAAGTCCCAAGTCCTAAATATTGTAAATCCTGTGCCCCGAATCCTAAATCCTAAGCCCTACCTGAACCCCAAAAGAAATAATCGCCCAAAACACCTAAGTATAGCCCAAAAGGCAATTAGTTTACATACTTTCGGGGGTCCCGGTAAACCCTAAACCCTAAACCCTAAGCCCTAAACCCTAAACCCTAAACAGGGAGCCAGTGGCTCCGGGCTTCCTCGGGAGATCAAATCGGAAAGAAGGTGGTAATCTCTTGCTGCTCCTCCACTGATTTCTGAGTTTCTGAGGTTTAGGGTTCAGGGTTTAGGGTTTAGGGTTTAGGGGGGGTGGTCTAGGAAACCTAAGGGGTACAGATTTTAAGGTTACAAGTTAGAAGTATGGGCCCCTGATGGGCCCTTGGGCCTGTTAGGGGAGTTCTAGGGACCTTTAAGGATACATTTAGCGTATGTAGTAGGTATATGCGTCCTTATTGCTGTAGTCTCCTTAGACATTACTTTCATCTTCATTGTAGTGTAATCCTCAGGAATTACGAAAATAGCGACATAGGTTTACTGGGTTGCGGTTCAGGAATTTAGTTAAGTTATTACAAGAAAGAAACCCAACTACTTGCAATACCCATAATATGATAATTTGCTTTAAGTTCCTGAGCAGCAACCCAGTCCGGGAGGATTGCAGGTCAGGCAGAGATTTTATAAACGCCCTCAAGCCCTAAACCTCTGAACCCTGAGCCGTAAACCCTGAACCAGAAACCTTAAGCCCCAAACCCTAAGCCTTAAACCCTAAACCCTGAACCCTTAGCCCTTAACCCTAAGCCCTGGGCAGCAGATCCGTGGGTTTGGGTTTCGGGGGTTTTGGGGTTTGGGGTTTAAGGTTTAGGGCTTAGGTTTGGGGTTCAGGGTTTCTGATTTAGGGCTGAGCGTTCAGCATCTCAAGTCCACGCATTCACTTGTGAAGCAGCGTTATCAAACAATGGTCATATACCCACCCGCCCATGGGGTCCCACATCATCAAGAAACCTATACCCTAAACTTTAAGTCTGGAACCCTTAAACTAAGAAACCCTGAACCCTGGACTCTAAGCCCCGAAACCTACTAAGCCCTAAACTTCTAGGCTTCCAGCCTTGATCTCTAGGGCTCCAGCGTTGAAGCCTGGGGTTCCAGGCTTAGAATCTAGGGTTCCAGCCCAGGGCTATAGCCTAGACCGTTAAGACCTTGCCCATTAAGACCTTGCCCATCCCCTTTTTGACCTCGTCCACGACCTTTTTGACTTTGCCCACCAACTTATTGACCTTGCCTACGAAATTTTTGACCTTGCCCACGAACTTTTTGACCTTGCCCATTAGCACATAACCTTGCCCACGGACCTTGAAGGTCATAGATTTGATGGACAAGGTCATGAAGTTTGTGGGCGAAGGTCATTTTGACCTTACCCGTTAACACCATTCGTTTAACCTCGCCCAGGAAGTTGTTGACTTGCCCACAAACTTATTGACCTTGCCCACGAACTTTTTGACCTTGCCCACGAGCTTTTTGACCTTGCCCACCAACTTTTTGACTTTGCCCACCAACTTCTTGACCTTGCCCACGAACTTTTTGACCTTGCCCACGAACTTTTTGACCATGCTCACAAACTTTTTTGATCTTGCCCACCAACTTTTTGACCTTGCCCACCAACTTTTTGACTTTGCCCACGAACTTATTGCCCTTGCCCACGAACTCAGTAACATTTGAAATAATTACCATGTGAAAGAGGGGTTTAGGTTTTAGAGTTTAGGATTTGGGCTTGAGGGTTAAGGATGAAGGGATTGGGTTTTGGGGTTAAGGCTCTGTGGATATTCAAGATGCCTGTGATGTTTACAAGGCGCAGCTCGAACTGGCAGGCATAAAACGAAATTGCGTTGATATGGGGACGTCTGAGAAGAAGCATTCGAAGGATTTGGCGAGGCGCCCGAGACAGGCCTTGTGCTGACGACCCCCGTTGGATTTCCAAGATTCAGGAGGGAGGTTCCTGGAGCCCTAAACCCTAAACTGCATTCTCTGTCAAGCTTTAGAGAGATCGTTCAAACCCTAGACCCTAAATTGAGTAGTGTTTGATTTGGGGATACTACGGTACGCAATATAGAGTAAGATTCTATCCTCCTTTTGGGGTATAGTATTTTGCATATGGAATAATATCTTACTGGGTTTAACCACCCAAAAAACGCTGCTCAATTGAACCATACTCTAAAATCCTTGAAGGCACTTGAAGAGTCGTTATGTAAGGGATTGTGAAGGGAACTATTATAGGGGTCTTTAAGGCGGATACTTGGTTTTTAGACTAAAGTTCCACTCAAGAATGGAGTCCTGTTATTTATCCGCCGCAAAAACTTGTTACCCTCTACCTGTCTAAGGTTTAGGGTGTAGGTGTAGGGTTTAGGGCTTAGGGTTGTGGAGTCCCTTTATGAATCCCCGTGAAAGCCCCTCTAATGTCCATGTGGGTGGTGGTCAAAATTATGGTCCCTTTTGGGGTACCCGAAATATTAGGTGCCGTATTACAATAGAGATCCAAAAAGAGACCATAATTTTGACAACCACCCAATGTGAAATTATGGATTGGACTTGGATAAACACAGCGGTTATAGACAGCCATTAAGATGACCCCTAGTATAGACTGTTATAGGGTGGGGGGCATTGATGCTAACAGAGAAGCCAGAAGCTGGAAATTGTTTTGAGGCCCTGGAAGCTTTTAACTCCTATTTCCATGATATGCCAACTTCCTTCCTTTATGTACCTGATAGACCATGATACAGTCTACTAGCCGTTCATGACTCAGTTAGCATGACTTCTGTAAGAATGCTCCTCCGTACTATCCCCCTCTTGGCTCGGGGATTTCCTTCAGCAATCTGAATTACTGTGGAATTTTAGGGGCTCAGCATAGTGGTGTGTGGTTAGGGAGCTCATGAAGTTATGCCCTGTCACCTACTTTACTACGTCCCGCAACCTCTTGTTCCTGGTGCCTACAGGGGAGTAGGGATGAGCTATAGCGACTTAATGATATGGATGCCATGCTTGCTAAACTCGCTAAGCCCCAAAGCCTTAAACTTTACATCCCCCCTAAACCCTAAACCCTAAAGCCTCAGGGTTTCTCAGAGAAACTTCCAGACCACAGGTTGTGTGCTCTGGGCATTTGCCGGACGCGCTGCTGCGCCCCTACTGGCTCTTCAAAGGATTTTGGATGGTAGGAAGTTTAGGGTTTAGGGTTTAGGGTTTTAGGGTTTTAGGGTTTAGGGTTTAGGGTTTAGGGTTTTGGGTTTTGGATGGTAAGAACTGGGGTTTGGTAAGCCCAGCCCCAAAATGAGGGCCTTGTATAGAAGTATCATACGACTATCATAGGGTCCTACTCTGGGGTGTTGGAGTTACCCCAGCCCTGTAGGGTCCCTTGGTAGGGATTGATGGGTTTTCTTTTGGGGGCTTACAGAGGCACTACCCAGAATGTTGTAGCGAAAACTTTCTCCACATGATGACTATGTTTCTGCCGTCAGCATAGCAAAAAAAAACGTCATGGTAGCAGCAGCTACAACTACTAAGCAAGAACCACTAGAAGCTCTTGTGCTGCACATCGAGCCTAGATGGACATAGTCGTCTTTTCTACCTCAAAACTCTAAACCTCAAACCCTAGGCTCTACACCCTACAACCCTAAACCCTCAAACCCTAAACCCTACAACCCTAAGACCCTAAACACGATTCAGAGTTTAGGGTTTAGGGTTTTAGGGTCTAGGATTCAGGGTTTAGGATTCAAGGTTTAGGATTAGGGTTTAGGATTCAGGGTTTAGGGTTTTAGGATTGAGGGTTTAGGATTCACTGTTTAGGGTATGGGGTTTCAGGGTTTAGGATTCAAAGGTATCAAAACTTGACGTCTACTCGACGCCACAGACCTATCTTTTAGTTCCGAAGCCCACTGAGGCTCCGAAGTTAAAACAGTTTGTCGACCTCTTCCTGGAGACTGTGCTCGGCGCAGCATTGGGACGCTGGGCTTTGTATGTTCATGCAACCTACTTGAAGCATTCGCTTGGGGTTGTGGGGTTGGAACGCAAGGTTTAGGATTGATGGTTTGGGGTTTAGGGTTCTTGATGGTCTTTGGTGAGCTTATCTAGGTTTCTTTTGGGAATATTGGTGAGTGTATGTGTAAACATATATATATATATACACATATACGTATTGTGTTTTCACTTTGATCTTGAAAAGCTTACCATACATGCCCAGACCCTAAACTTGCCTCTGGTTAGAAGGGAATGGAGAGGAATATGGAAACTGTCTTACTGAGGACTATACGTGGACCACTATAAAGATCCATGCCTTCATTCTCTGCTAACCAGAGGAAAGTAATGCCCTGAACACCAAGCCTTTGCCTTTTGCTTGCAGGTGCTTAAGGGATAGCGGGCAATGAATCTTTAAAAGATTCCCCATATCAAGTTTAGGGTTTAATGCAGTCACAGTATACATCCCAGTACGTGGCACAGGTTTCTTGAAACCCTAAACCGACTATGTTGCAGGCTTGCCATACTTCTGAGTTACCCACAAAATTCCGACATGCTCCTTAACAAGGACCGCTAGAAACCCCTTACAATGCCTATATACCCCTAAGGTCCCCAGAAACCCCCTTGTTCGAAAAAAACTCTAAACTCCACCAAGCTGTCATCTTTGCTTCCGTGGTTTGTGCAATAATCTCGAATCTTCAGGACCTTAGCAGGTAGTACCCAAGGAAACCCAGTACTACATTTAGGCTATACCCCTTGATTACGGTGTATGGGGCTCTATGGGCAAAGGCTTGAGGCAGCTTGTGCCAGCGAGGAATAATCCTTGTGGGTGTTCTCATCGACCTTGTCCGAGAGCCAATCAGCAAGACACTAGGCGGGTCCGCGGAAAACTCGGGAGTGCTGTTGGGTTTAGGGTCCAGGGCTTCTGTTGGTCCAGAGCTTTCGGAACAAGCTTTAGGGTAGGGTTGAGATTTAGGACCTAGGATTTAGGGATTCGGGTTTGAGATGGAGGGGCTACTACCAGGTCCTTCACAAGGGGCATAGGTACTAGGAAAGCTTAGGGAGCCTTGGGGAGTAATGGGTTTAGGGTTTAGGTGTAATGCAGGATTAAGCAGTTATGCGGATAACTCGGGTAGCGAGTTTGGGACTTAGTGTTCTAGGATTTAGCGCTTAGGGTTTTAGGCGTTAGGGTTTTTAAGGTTAGGATTAACCCCTCCCCAAGCAGTTGACGCGCCATGGTATGTAGCTACTGCGGTCCTTCCACAAAATCAGGAACAGCCTCGGGAACTTGGCAAATCCTCACGAATACTTTGTGAACAGTCGAAACCAGCTTGATGGCGCCGCTCAATCGTCAATGAACCTGCAACGTAAGGCATATGAGCCCTTATGTAACCCCCTTTAGGAAGCTCGTGTAGGATTTTTCAAGATAAACCCTGCGCAATCCCTCCCCATCATCCCCTTATGGTCCCTGCATATCCCATGAGTTCCTAGGAGCCCCCCTGAGCCCCAAACCCTAAGTCCTCAGCCCTGCTTGGAGGGTCAGGGGGACTTAGCAAGTAGGGTAATAAAGAGGATAACTAGGGTTACTATATGGGTAATATGGGTTATAGGGGTTATTAACCTACGTACTAAGTCACCCTGATCCTCCAAGTAAACTCTAAACCCCAAACCCTACGCACTAAACTCTGCACCCTAAACTCCCATTAAAGTCGAGGTTCGCGCGATGGCTTTCAAGGGTATACTGCAGATTGACACGGGATTGCTTTTGCGTGTAGGGTTTGGGGTATAGGGTTTGGGATTTGAGGGTTTGGGGTTGAGGGTTTAGAATTTGAGGTTCAGGGTTTGGGGTTAGGGTTTGGGGTTTAAGGCTTAGGGTCTGGGGTTAGGGCTTAGGGAAACCTAAGACAGAGGTCCATGGGACTTGATAAGTACGTACGCATGGCTTATTCCCTTACCTAGTCTTGGGGCAACCCATATTCGTTCCAGTTAAGGGAATCGCAGTAGAGTTATTAGCAGAATTATACATCCTTACTAGGAAGCGCATTTTATAAAGGCTACTGCCTCTGAACGCAGGGGTCATATGGGGTTCGGTGCTAATCTCTCGATCTGCGCGTTAGAGGCCCTGAGTATGCTGGCTGGGATGGCTACGCTTTTCTTACCCTCGGGATTCCAGCGAGTCTCATGCTGCTTGGGCTGAGTTTTGCGGTTGGTTCCGGAGCTTCGTCTGGAGTGGAGGGTACTTAGAGGTCCGTGGGATTTGAGATAGGCTGTTTTAACACTCTGCTTTTTGGTGAGGGTCTATAACTCCTCTAAGGAACATTGGTAAGCGCATGTACTCGGTGTCGAACTTGGAAGAAGAAAAAACTACCACACTTCACAGCTGCTTATTGGTTTGCACCCCTTCTTATATCGGTCCCTCATTTATACACCCTTAACGCTAAACCCTAAACCATAACTCATATATGTGTGTGTATAAATGTATATGTAAAAAATGTGTGTATATATATACATATACATATACAGTTGCAGAAAAGAGGATGTTCGTTATTATGGGGTGGGGGTTATCAAGCCCCAGGGTCTTGAAGGGTGAAAAAATGGGGTTTGAGCGTGTCTTTTTTCACAGGCACAAGGCACATAAAAAAGAAAGAGCAGCAGCAAGCATAGCGGAAAGAAAAGAACGACAGGACAAACACAAAGAAAGAAAGGAAGAAAGGACGACACAAAAAAAAGGCAGGAAGAAAGATATGCCCACAGCATGTTATTCATACCCCTTCTGTATATTGCCAAAGGCATATACCTCTTTTACGTATGACTAATTTCACCCTACGATGCGCACCATTCTTGCAGTTATTGCTGGTATTTCTGTTTTCAGGCGCTCAATATCTCATCGTGCTTCATCATATTTTGTCACAGTCCAACAGTGTTCCACCATGATCCACCGTTGTTCATCAGCTCTCCATCATAATGTTACCATCTTTCATCAGCGATCTTGCTTTTCAAAATGTTTCATCATTTTCCGCAGCTCTCATCATCTTTCATGATTTCCGTCGTTTTACATCAAAATCATGATGCCCCAACATCTTTCATCATGCTTCATCATGCTCATCATACTTCATCATCTGCATCACTGTTGGCCATATCTCATACGTTTCCATCACATTGGCTCACGCTCGAGCATCGTTCATCATGTTTAGTATTTTTGTCATTTTCATCATCCTACTGGCACTTCATGAGTTTCATCATGTTCCGTCATTTTAAATCATGTCTCATGATTTGTAACGGGAGGGCTGTTCCCCCGCAAGCTCCCCGGTGATCTGAATCATAGTTCATCAGTTTCCATGATATTTCACAATGCTTCATCATACTCTATCATTACTCCAGATTTGCCATATTCTTTCATTTCACATCATTTTTTTTATTAATTTTCATCACTACTGATCACGGTTGATCACTTAGTCAGTGTTTAGCCATGGTTTATCGTTGTTCAACATTTCGCAACTATTTCATCATTTGCAGAATGCTCCATCATGCTTCATGATTTTCGTTCGTTTTCTACCATTTGGCATGATTTTGAAACATGACTCGCTGTGTTTTAGTAGCCTTGCGTCGTTTCCATTTTTTCATCAATTTCAGCATTCATTGCTCATGATGTTACCCTCTTCAAGTCCTAACGTGCTTTTAACTAGAATTAGACCCCACTTATAAGCAGGAAATTGGCATTCTCATTTTTTAAACAGCTTGAGGTACTCTAGGCAGCCCTTTGCAAAATCTCCAACAGAGCCCTGCGAAGCCCACCCAAACCCTAAACCCTAACCTTTCGGGTTGGGCTTCGCACTAAACGCCCCGAAGAGGACCGCTTCAAAAGATATGAAGCAAAGGTTTTCTGAGCACCCCCGGGGTTTAGGGTTTAGGGTTTAAGGTTTAGGGTTTAGGGTTTAGGGTTTAAGGTTTAGGGTTTAGGGTTTAGGGAACATATTCCTTGCCCTAGAACGGACTCTAGAACTTCATTGTCACGACATTCAAGACCAGCACCTAGATGAGTGCTTGTCAAAATTATGGTCTTTTTTTGGGTACCCTAAATATTAAGTGCCTTATTATAATAGGGATCCAAAAAGGGACCATAATTTTGACAACCACCCAGATGGTGTGGCAAGAAGCGAAATGCTGCTCCAAACCCTTCCCTCCTAGGATGCGCGGGTTAGGGGTTAAGGGGATAGGGGTTATGGGTTACGGGTTAGGGGTTTAGGGTTAGGGGTGAGGGGTTTAGGGTTAGGGGTGAGGGGTTGGGGAGCTGAGTATACTCACAAGCAATTGTAGTCACAATGCACCGGTACTTGGGAGACTTTTGGATTGATGAGTAAGTTGTAACTGCAATTCCTAAACCCTATAGTCCCCCATAAGTAGATAGAATATCGCTTTGGGTATACAATACTAAGATCCCCATATACCCCATGTTCGATCTACTTAGGGGGGATTATATCCTAAACCCTAAACCCTGAATAGTAGTTCCCATTTTCTTTTCCATTATCTCACTATAACCCTAATATAACCTCTATCCCTAAGCCCTAAACCCTAAACTCTAAGCCCTAAATCCTAAACCCTAAATCCTGAACCCTAAACTCTAAACCCTAAACCAACCTCTCTCCTAAGCCGTAGACATAACCCGCTGCTCTAAGGGTCGAGGGGGGCTCGTTTTGGGGGGCTTTGGGCCACAAGGATGGACCCATTTCAGGGTTGCTGTTTTGGGGTGGTATAAGAGAGGGCTTATTAAGGTTTACGGCTATATTCCCCCTCTATAATGGAGATTCGAACGGAAAAGAAAAGGGATAATGAAATGCACAATCTAAGTTACTATATTCGGGAAACCATGTTAATTACTGTATCTACGCATTGTGGTACCTTACTTTAAGTTCCTTAACAGCAACCTTGATGTTGATGCGGGACTTCTGCTTTTAGGGCTCAATATGTAGGATTTCGGGTTCGGGGCTATAAAATGCGGACGTTCATCTAAATAATGCTAAGGTGGGGCGGGGCGTCCTTATGTGAAAACAGAATCCGGCGTTTGTTGACGGATTTCCAATTCCTAAGCGTTTCGGGTTTTGGAAAGGCCATACACTACAAGGCCTTGTTTTGCAAACCACTTGAACCGCTAAACAATAAAGTTCTGAACTCTAAACCCCTAATTCCGAGTTAGGTTTGAAAGCCTGCGTACTGAGAGGTTCATGGGACTGAGTGATTTCTTCTAACCGCGCTGATTGCCCTATTCACTATTCCTCTAACTCGAGAGCAAAGAGTTACCCCAAGAAGTAGCAGGTTTAATACCCCGGTTCTAGGCATTTTGTGTAATCTGAAACTGAGATGACCGAACTGAACAGAAGGGACCCAACAACCCTTTTTGAGAAGCTGATGCAAGATGCAGTTACCAACCTTCACCTAAACCTGACTAAACCCTAAACCGTCTTTGAAACTGGGTAGGCCCCTGGGATATGTAATATTTTCCTTCTAAGGCGTTAATAAAGGACCCTATGTACTAACATTTTTCACAGGGTTTTAGGCCCCCTAAACCCTAAACCCTAAGCCCCAACCCTAAACCCTAAACCCTAAACCCCAACCCTGGAAAGCACAAGGTTAGCTTGCCATTCCCGCGGCTGCAGCAAGCTGCCCCTTGCCGTTGGTGTGGGCTTTTCCTTCTATACATTGGATACTGCCCCCACCCAGTAACAGTTTATAATATGTTTATATATAGCCCTTAATAGGACCCCTAATATAGACTGTTACTGGGTGGGGGCAGTACCCAATCTATACACTTTGGTGCTTCAGGTTCAGGGTTTACACACGCCTATCGGGCTTTTGGAGTTCGTTTATGTGGCTTGTGGTTTACAATATTTTGGGGTTTGCAGAGTTAAGGGTTCATAGGTTTAACTGCTCAGAAGTATGGAGTTCAAGGTTTTTCAGAGGTTAGGCTTCGTGGTTTGAAGTTTTCGATGTAAGGTTGGAGGGGAGGAACCTACAGGCTGAGGATGTGTTGCTCGCGTCGAAACTCACTCAATAAAGGGACTCTACTGGGAA